CATTTCTGTGTCTGGTATACATTTTATTAACTCTTTTTCATGTGGTGTTATGTTTGAATCATTTTGAAAAAAGTTTATAGCTGTTTTGCAAGCTAAAAAAAAAATTATAATTATAATAATTATTAAGAATTTTACTAGATAAATTAAAATCTCAAGTTATTTGTCTTTTTACCTTTTCCGGTTTTCATAGACCCAGGCTTTAACTTTACTTTATATTTATATTTTTGTAATGCAATATATGGTGCGCAAACAGGAATGGCAAAAAGTAATATATCATCGGGTAAAGGTGATCCTGTTAATTTATCTAAATTTTCCTTTTTTTTAAAAGGATAATTAATCAAAAAGTTAAAATCAAAGCTATAAAAATAAAAATAAAAATAATAGTAATGATAAAATATAATTACTATTATTTCATTTTCTAACACAACAGTGCTTTCTCGATTTTTTATTTCATCTGCATCATCCTCCCCGTCATCTTTATTTCCTACAAGATTTCCATTTTCGGCAATTTGTTCTTTATTTTCAATTTCCTGTGTATGTGATACTTTGATATCTTCTTTTTCTTCTTGTTGTTTAATATTATTCTTGTCTATATTGTTTGCGTTAGTTGTTGTTGTTGTTTTATTAGGATTCTTAATTGGTTTATATGTTGCTTGTTTTAAGGCCTCTTTTTTGCCCTTTTTACCTTTTATCTGAGGCGCTTTATTAGACTATAAATAATATAAATTATAATAAATATTTATTTATACATATATATTTTAAAAAAACATAATAGATCTTATAACTTACACCAAGTAACTCCATACGTAATAATCTTTCTTCTTCATCTTGATCTGCATATTTTTCCTTTAATTTTTTTAGTTTGCCTTTTTTACCACGTGGTAATTGTACCGATGATTTATTCTGCTATTATAAACATCAAAAAAAGAAAAATTACCATAATGATGGCTGATTTAAATCAATCAAGAAATTTGAACACACATGGATATAAATAAAGCTTACTGTTGTTTGGTTTTTTTGAGTTTTTCCTTTAGATTCGTTTGCTATATTGAAATTTTCCACTACAATGGAATTATCCGAGTTTTCTAAATTGGTCCCTTGCTTTTGTTTTTTCAATAGTTTTCTTTCTTTGGCTGATACATGTTTTTTCTTATAAATAAGAGTAAATTAATAATCAATAAAAATTTTAATAAAAAATAAAACATTTAAGAAAATCAGTAATTACAGTTTTTTCTTCATTTTCTTGCTTTTTTTGAGGACTATTATTATAATTAAAATCAATAATATCATCTTGATCAACACCATATTCATCTAAATTATATTTATCCCATGTTATACCGTTTATATCTGTTTCTTGATTTTTACTACTAAAATTACTTTTAATGGTTGATTCGGAATTTAAAGATTTTTTATCTTGTTCATTTTCATCATCATCATATTCATCTTCTGAAAAATCATTTTCAAAGTCTCTTTGTTTATTATAATCCTCATTGTTCTCATCACTATTTTTTCCTTCCTCTTCTTCCTCTGCTTCTTCGTCATCATCGTTTTTTTCTTTATTATTACTTTGAAGAAAATTATCTTCAACAAACAGTGGTCGACGTTCATTTAAGTGACTTGGAATGCTTTGTTCATCCAATCGAAACAACAATCCAAATCCATATATTAATTGTACAGGTGGTAAAAAGTTCTTTTTGCCACGAATCATAAATGAACCAGTTGTCAAATATTCACCCGTAGGTGCAGTTTTAGATACCTGATAAAACAATAATATTCTTATTAATACTTAAATTATGTTATATAAAGTAATTACAAAAAAAAATTTTTATTACCTGATCAGCATCCACCCAATATGCACTAATAACAATCTTTGCATCCCAAGCTTTACTTTGGCATACAGACATAACACCAGCTTGATATAATGTACTAGGCGGAATCTGTTGACCTTCTTTATTATTTTTCACAATTACTGAAGCTGCACCGTGTAAGTCAGCATGAACGTATACGTCGCCTTTTTTTAAGTGTCTTCTAACCAATATTTCATTTTGTTGAGCATCATGTCCAGCGATAACAAGATAATTCTCGGATGAAATAAACCAAAGAAACTTTTCAAACCAAAATGGTTTTCTTATTTTATTTATAGATATTGTTATTTTTGATTCTTTTAAATCTTGTCTAATTTTTTGTTCAGCACTTTTGAAGGCCTAAATAATAATAATAATAATAATAATAATGATCGTAATTTTATTAGAAAATTATTTTACATTTAATTATTTTTAAAAAAGAAGAGAAAAAGGTGTACTTTATCAGCGACAGCTAATGTTTTTTCTTGTTTGATTGCTGATTGTTTCTTCACATCATAATATTTTCTAGCATTAGCGAATGCTGACAAATATATATCAACATCTACTTTTTCATGTATTTTATTTACAGATGAATCTTCCTTTTCAAAATCATCATCCGAAGAATCATAAAATGTATCATCATTTAATTGCGTATTTTCACTACAAAGGAAAAAAGGAATTAAATATATATACACATATATAAAAATATAAATAAAAGAAAGAAAAAAGGAAAGCAATATACCTTAATAATAAAGTAATCATATTAACCTCCAATTTGAAGCCAGCAATCACATTAGCAATAGGGTTATCACGTTTTTTCTCTTCGGCTACTAAATTTTCCAAATCTTTCCAATCAAATGAGCTGGCAATTGCATTCCTAATAATTAAAATAGCTTGATCCACCAATTCAATATTAGATTCAATTAATTTAGCCTTTTTGATATTACTTATTTGAGCATTCTGAAGACTTTCAACACGGGAATATTGTTCTTTTTTAATTGCATCCAATTTTTCTTTTGCTGCGTGTTCTTGATTCCTTTGCTTCAAAATAAGTTTTTGACTCTCTAATGAAGAGTAATACTCGTCTACCGCTAAATCAAAAGAATCAAATTCTTTGTATATTTTTGTTTTATGCTGTTCAAACAAAAATGGATGAAATTCGTTGTATGTTACCAAATCTTCTTGTTGTGTTTTTTCACCATCATCATCATTATCTTTTGGATTTTTAAAGGTTTCCACATGTTGAAGCAAAATAATATACCCCTTTTGTGTTTTATTTGCACAATCTTCAATAATTTTGTCTGCTTCAGCAAAACCAGCTTCCAATGCAGTCAAATAAGGAGAAGCCTCCGATGGTGATGATGATGATTTATCAATAATAGTGCCAACCTTCATATTAGGATCTAATTTTGAAACGCGAAGAGCATGTTCAGTTAATGCTTGACCATAATTTAATTTTGCATTCAAAAATTTTTTTAATTGTTCTTTGGTTTCTTTTGATTCTGTAGTATCAAATATTTCTTGTAATCGTTTTATTGAAACAGGGTCCTGCATACGAGCCGTCGCATTTACATTATATATTTGACCAACTACCATCCTCTCATTCTCTTTAGGTTGGACAATACGAAGTAAAGCTAAAATCCTGTACTCATTATCCGTAACAATGATATTTCCTGAAGCATAAAATTCTGCAATTATATGATATGTGATACCATCTCCAACAGCACCAAATTCAAAATCAATTATTCTGTCAACACCCAATTGTCTCACATCTGTTAATCTACGTGATTTCAAATATTTTCGAATCCTCAGACAAAACATCGAAGGAGCATTTGATTTGTCACGAGAAAATTGTGTTGTGTGAATTCGAATACCGGACTCAATCAATAGTAATTCTTTTCGATCCGGCTTTTTTTAATGAAGAGCAAGTGTTTTAATATAATTATTTTAATTTTAATTTTTGTAACATATGACAAATTACCTTTGAAAATTTGAGCAGGTATGTTTTTGAATTGATGTCATATATATTTTGCAACCTTAATCCAACAATTCTAATTAAAATATATATATATATATATAATTTTTAGTTTTAATGTAAACAGTATATAGATTAAAAACCAAATAGATTAAAAACCTTTCTTTTAAATTGTATACAGTAGCTCTTATGTCAAGTGCAGAGAATCTTTGTTTCATTTTTTTTGTTTATTTTTGAAATAAAAAATTTGAAATTATTTTAGATCAACAATTTTTGATTAATAAACTGGATGTCGATCATTCAATGGTGATATAATATCATAGGCAGAAGTTTGTCTGATTGGCTAATTTTGCCAATCAATTTCAATTGAGTTCGCATATTATTTATATAGTTTAAAGTACTTTTTAAGGTTTTTAAGAATACAATGTTTCACTAATAAAAAAATAAAAAATCATTGCAAAAGCCTTTAAAATAATACCAACGTTCACTGTGCAAAAGAATCA